AAGATTTAGATTCCTGCCTGAAATTATTTCTTTGTTCTAGCCTAAGATTTAGATACCTGCCTGAAATTACTTCTTTGTTCTAGCCTAATGTCAGAATCCTGCCTGAAGCCCACTTCCTTATCCTTGACCAACGTTATATTCCTTCCAAGCAGCCAATTTCCTTGTCCGTGGTCCATGTCAGATTCTTGCCAAATAACCCCCAAAACTCTCTGCCTCTACCCCTTTTCAATTTCATAAACAAGACCGAGTCTGTTTTATGTTTTTCTGCTAAGAATGCCTTCCTTATCTGTCATGGATAATTGCTAATCATTTAGCAAAAAATGTTAGTAATGTATTGTATATTCAAGAGGATTTAGATAGGCATTTGGAAAAAGGGATTGATATTCTTTATCCTATTTGAATTATTGGATGGAGGTTCAGAGTTTAAGAGTAAGGAACCTTCTCAAGTGTCATGCCAAATACCATTAGATTTGTGTTAGTTCTAAAATTTACAGTGGTAGTCATTATAATTATGAAAAAGTTTAAAGACACTTGCAGTGTATTTGGCCTCTCTGGATGTTTTAAATTTGCATAGTAAACTTATTGTTGCCACCAGCAGCTACAGACGACCAGGTTCACCTGAAAGAGAGGCTGGGAAGGGACAGAAGGGCGGGAAGAGATGAAGCCAGGACAAAGGTTTCTGGTCGAGGCTCAATGCTTTAATGTTCAGCTTTCAATTTAAAGGGGGTAACCCACCCCACCCCCAGAGTTCCTTCTGGCTTCATCCAGCTGGGGGCGAGCGCTGAGGGTGAGCGGAAACCATCCTGCTGGAGCTGAGAGGAATCCATAGGTAATTGCGGGGGGGGGGGCGGAGATGTCTCAAAGCAAGCTCAGCAGGCAGTCTATTCTTCTCAGCTTGTGTACCAGGCTACAGGCAGACAGAAAGGCACCAAGGCAAGCACTGCCTCCTCACCAAGTGCAGGAAATGCCTACGGCCAGAGTCCTATTGTTTGGTCTATTGTGGTAAACAAGGTCTCATCTCTTAGGCCTGCTCAAGGCTGGGGGAAGGGCACAGTACCCCCTTTTTAGTTTTATAAGATATGAGCAGTGCCAGCTGCTGGATGGGGAATAATATTTCATCCCATCTAGGGTACAGAGTGGCTGGGCGACCGTGCCTGTCTTAGGTTGGCATCTATATTACCTGTCATTGAGGAACATACATAGCATATTGATGTAAGCCTCTTGTCTTAGGTTTATAGGAGCTCAAGACACTCTTACCCATCGTTGACTAACCAGCCCCATCAATTGGCACACTCTTTTCCAAAAGACCAAAACCACATTCAGACCAAAGGACCTGTGGGTGTGCACTAGCTGCAATTCTTCATAGCGTTGGATAGCTGCCACACTGAAAGCTGAGCATGCTGAGAGCAATCCTGTGTGATCCTGTGTGAAGGCAACCTATCTGCTTGAGACACAAGGTTTAAAAGGTTAAAAGCAACATGATTTATCCAAGCAATGTAGAAAATAAGGTTGGAAGCGGAAATGTTCCAGTGCCTAATCCAGTTGCTGGTTGACAGGGATTTAGACACAAAGTCTGGCCACCACATATAGTGAGTGACTTTAAGTATTGATGGAGACTACATGCCAGGTTAAATCAGCTGGCAGATAAGGATTTTGAGCCATCATCATCAGAATCACAATTATTAGGCTCGAGATCTGTGTCCACATGATGGACCAATCTTTCAGGGAGCCATCGGGCTCCGTTCTCTTTTTCTGAAAAAATACAGACTGAACCACGACCCCAAATTAAAACAGGGTCGGGACCATACCAAGTGTTAGTTAAGGGGTCTCTCCACATGACCCTGGCAAATGAGTTGGAAGTAACCGGATGCCAGTGGCGATCCGCTGCAGACCGACCTTTAGTATCAGTTTGCAGAAAATTTAAGACAAGTAAAACAAAAGCAAGGTGTGCTTTTGGTGACCTTGGGGGGTATAATTCCCCCTCTTTAGTTTTAACAAGCCAATTTTTTAGAGTGTGATGTGCATGCTCAACAATTCCTTGTCCCATTGGGTTATAAGGAATTCCAGTTTTATGTTCAATGCCAAATTCTTTACAGAATGATATAAAGTTGTTTCCAGTATAGGCTGGCCCATTGTCCATTTTGAGGACTTTAGGTAATCCCATAGCATTAAAGGCTTGTAAGCAATGATCAATTACATTTCTAGAGGCTTCCCCTGAATGTAGAGAAGCAAAAAGGAATCCTGAGCAAGTATCAATACAGACATGTATATATTTCAATTTTCCAAATTCTGCATAATGAGTTATATCCATTTGCCAAATATGATTAGGCTTAAGGCCTCTTGGATTAACGCCTAAATGGGGAGCCGGAGATAAAGTAAGACAGTTAGGACATTGTTTTACAATCATTCTAGCCTGCTCCTTAGTGATCTTATGCCGGAGCCTTAGGGTGTGACTAGAGAGATGAAACTTATTATGATCTCTTCTAGCCAAAGCAACAGGATCCAAAATTAAGGCTTCTCCTATTAAAGCTCTGTCAATACGATCATTGCCTGCAGCTAAAGGTCCAGGAAGACCAGAATGAGCTCTTATATGGCCAATATAAAAGGGATTTTTTCTGGTAACAATGAGGTTTTGCAGTTGTGAAAACAGAGATCCAGCTGGAGTATTAAACTGCAATACACCACAAGTTTCTAACAAGGGGACAGACTGAGCCACATACAGGCTATCAGTAAAAAGATTAAAAGCATCATTTACAGACTGAAAAACATTCAGAACTGCTATCAGTTCTGCTAGTTGAGCAGAGAGTCCAGGAGTCTCTATGACTACCTGTTGATTATTTATGAGATACCCTGCTCGTCCTTTAGAGGAGCCATCAGTAAAGACTAAAAGAGCATTATGCAGAGGCTGCAAAGAAGTCATGTTAGGAAATATAACCTCATGTACATTTAAAAACTGTATCAACTTATCTGGAGGATAATGATTGTCTATAGTCCCATTAAATCCTATTTGAGCAAGCAACCAATCTGTACTATGCTGCTTTAACCAAGTATTCTGATCTGCATTAAAAGGCTGAATAATGACATCTGGCTCCTTGCCAAAATAAATCAATGCCTGTTTTCTTCCAAGCATAATCATATGTGCTACCGCCTCATAATATGGTAGGATGTTACGTTTAGGGGATATCTTTGAATGTATCCACATGAGGGGAGCCTTTTGCCACAACAATCCTGTAGGTGTATAAGTTGTATTAAAAACCAACAAACATAAAGGCAAGGAATAATCTATATAAGTAACAAATTGTTTCTCAATGGCTCTTTCTACTTGTTGTAAGGCCAACAATCCTTCTGAGTTTAAGGATCGAGGGGAGGTAGGATCAGCACTCCCTTTGAGAATATCAAATAAAGGTTTCAATTCTCCTGTAGTAAGTTTTAAATAAGGACGAAGCCAATTGATATCACCTAACAGCTTTTGAAAATCATTTAAAGTTTTTAAACTGTTTCTTCGGATAATTATCTTCTGGGGACAAACGGCTCGATCTGTAAGCCTAAAGCCTAAATAATTATAAGGCTCCTGAGTTTGTACCTTTTCAGGAGCAATTTGTAGTCCTTTATCAGCTAATGCCTTTTGTAAATCTCTATAACATAAAAGCAAGTCCTGAGGATCTTTTCCTCCTAAAAGAATATCATCTGTGTAATGAATGATGTACATTATTGGCCATTGCCGTCTTACAGGCTCAATGGCTTGTGCTACAAACTTTTGACACAAAGTGGGGCTATTAGCCATGCCCTGAGGAAGAACTACCCATTGATACCTTTTCATTGGCTCTCTAAAATTAACAGACGGAACACTGAAAGCAAACCTTTTACAATCCCGAGGATGCAAGGGAATGGTGAAAAAACAATCTTTCAAATCTACTATTATTTTATAATACCCTTTAGGAATGGCTACTGGAGATGGAAGCCCAGACTGTAAAGCTCCCATAGGTACGATGGTTTCATTAACCTTTCTTAAATCTTGTAACAATCGCCATTTTCCAGATTTTTTCTTAATAACAAATATTGGAGTGTTCCAAGGTGACTGAGATTCTACTATATGCCCTGCCTCTAATTGCTCCTGCACAAACAACGAGGCAGCTTCTAACTTTTCTTTAGACAAAGACCACTGATCAACCCACACCGGGGCATTATTAAGCCATTGAATTTTATCAGCATGGGATGCAGGCAAGACAGTGGCCATTATGGAAAATACCCCAAACCTCTAGTGTCAGATTGAGGCTTAGGCGCTTCAAAAGTTTTAATACCTTGTCCTTCCTTTCCTAGTCCTTGACCAGGCAAAAATCCCTGTCTTAGCATTTGTTTAGTCACTACCTCATTAGGGCTGCACATCATAAGACCCATCTGTGACAAAAGATCTCTTCCCCAGAGGCTTACAGGCAAATTCGGCATTACATAGGGTTGAATTTGTCCTGAATTGCCCTCTTCATCTCTCCAAGTTAGAGGTTTAGAACTCTGTTTTGGGTTATTGGCATAACCAATCCCCTGAAGGTGAGTGAGAGTATCAGACAAAGGCCAGGCTGAAGGCCAGTCTTGTTCTCTAATAATTGTTACATCTGCTCCTGTGTCTATCAATCCTTCAAAACCTTTTCCTTCAATTGTTAACTTAAGATTAGGCCTCTTGCTAGTAATAGATTGAACCCAGTACACATCAGAGGAACCAAAGCCATCTTGTCCTCTCTCATTCTTAACAAATTTGGAAGGAAGTGGATGCAAAGGAACCAAAACAAGTTGAGCAATTCTCTTGTCAGTAGGTACAGTTATAATACCATGGGGGGAAGCAGCCATAATCTTAATTTCTCCCTCATAATCACTATCTATGACACCTGGATAAATTTGCAATCCTTTTACAATACTGCTGCTTCGGCCCAGAAGCAATCCCCAAGTACCCGCAGGCAAGGGCCCAAAAACACCTGTGGGCAGCGTCTGAACTCCCATTTCTGGTGTCAGTACCGCATGAATAGTGGAACTGAGATCCAGTCCTGCATTTCCTGGGGTAGCTCTAATAAGTTCTGAAATGGATTTTCCTGGCTTGGAAACAGCTTCATGGCCCCATAAGCTGTTGGCTGTGGATTCTTGGGGGCCTAGGGCTGGCCCCGATACTCGCTTCCCGACAAGGGACGGCCCTGATTACCTGTTTTAGATTTGCATTCCTTAGCCCAATGATAACCCTTCTTGCACCTAGGACAGATGTCTGGAGTGTGACCTGCTTGTTTTCTCGTGTCCCTTTTTCTGGGACAGTCATTTTTAAAATGACCTGGATCTCCACATTTAAAGCACCTTTTATCTTTATGGGTCTGTGCAAGCAATGCTTGCACAGTGGTCCCTTGTAAGGCCGCAGCCACGGCCAGACCCTGATGATAAGAGGGTCCAATTTCAGCGCAAAGACAAATGTACCCATGTAAATCAGTCTTCGCTTTGTATGGCCTGATAGCTGCGCGGTGGCAAGCTGCATTAGCATTCTCATAAGCCAATTGCGTAACAAAAGGAATTCCACCTTGAGGATCTCCAAAAATTCTACCAGCTGCCTTTAGCAGCCTGTCCACAAAATTCTGAAACAATTCGTCTGGACCCTGTTTAGTACTCGATAAATTCCCACTAAGATCCCCTTTAGCAGGTAATCGGTTCCAAGCATGGCGAGCAGCCATTGCAACCTGTGCGTACACTCCGGCAGGCAGTTCAATCTGATTAGCATTACCTTCATATTGACCTTCTCCTAGAAGCATGTTAAGATCCCAGTCTGCATTGCCTGCCTGAGCATTCATCATGGCGGTTTTCTTACTAGTATCACGCCATTCTGAACTCCAAAGCAAGTAATCTCCTCCTGACAAAGTAGCCTTACATAAAGTTTTCCAATCTTGGGGTGTTAAATTTGCTTCTACCACAGCATCCAATAAAGCTTGTGTAAAGGGGGCAGTAGGCCCATATTGCTCCGCAGCCATTTTCAATTCTTTTATCACCTTAAACTCCAATACCTGATACTGTCTGGTTCTTCTGTTCTGCTGATCAATTACATCAACTACAGGAAAAGCTAACAAGTCAGATGTATCTTGCCCATCCCTTCGGGCCTGATTCATGGCTCTTTCTAACGGCGATTGGCGCATCTCCAAATCATTGCTCTTTTTTTGTCCCTGATAGACACCTTAACTCCTGCAGCTCATTAGTCTATTTTTGCAGCTTAATTTCCATCTCTAATTTATATACCTTCATGTCCATCTGGGCAGCTTGTGCTGCGTCAAGGACCATAGGTGGAGCAGATGGTACACAGGGCGGGCAATCCTCGTGATATTTGGAAGCCCTTTCCTTAAAATCAGCTCCTTTATCTAGATCTGATTTATCATCAGAATCTCTGATTTCTTTTATCTGAACTGTAGAAGGTGTACTAGGTCTACACTTCTCTAATTTAGATTTTCACGTTCCCCTTTTTGTAACAGCGCTCTCTGATAGGCGTTCTTGGAACTCTTCAAGCTGCACCTGGGTCGAGGCTAGCGCCTGCAAGGTATCTCTATCTGTATTATTATCAATAGCATCTTTTACGAGCTCCCAGAGGCAGAGGGTGTTAGAATCTGCCTTGGTGGTTCTCAAAACTTCTCCTACTGTTTCCCAGGTTTTCTTACTCAAAGTTCCTTCCTTTGGGAACCATGGGCAGTATGAATTTATTTCTGCCAAGAATTTTTCTAACATACTATTTGAAAACCCTCCTCCTTCCGCCTGGAGCAGCTCTTGCAGGCTGCGGACAAATGCCTGTTTAGAATTCTCCTGACCCATAATTCGCTGTCACCTCCTAGGCAAAATTGGAACCGGGTCAATACCTCATTCACCTAGACCGCATCCCCCAAAACACACTTCCTGCAAACACAGCCTTCAAAGCATAACCATAACTAGCGCTAGTATCAAAAATTGTTTGCTACTTACCAAGTGTGCGGGATACTCTCCTTCCTTGTTCCGTTTTCTGTAGAGCTCTACCCAAGACAGCGTTCCTCAGCTGGTCTCTCGTTTTCAGGCCCCAAGGTCGGGCGCCATTCTGTTGCGGCCAGCAGCTACAGACGACCGGGTTCACCTGAAAGAGAGGCTGGGAAGGGACAGGAGGGCGGGAAGAGATGAAGCCAGGACAAAGGTTTCTGATCGAGGCTCAATGCTTTAATGTTCAGCTTTCAATTTAAAGGGGGTAACCCACCCCCACCCCCAGAGTTCCTTCTGGCTTCATCCAGCTGGGGGCGAGCGCTGGGGGTGAGCGGAAACCATCCTGCTGGAGCTGAGAGGAATCCATAGGTAATTGCGGGGGGGGGGG